ACTGATTTTTTCATATGAGAAGTCTGTCACTTGGTGAGTTGCAACCTTGGCTAGAATAATTGGTGGTGCTTCTGGCTGCTCATGCAAGGCCCATCGCCGATCCTTTGTATGGCCTAATTGACTGTAATGTCCACATTTAGGTCTGCTGGTTGTACCCAGATTATCCTTTCTTGCATTGAAAATCGGTAACAAAGGTCGGATTAGATCAGCGACCTTCGAAACAACCCATGTTACTTCCTAGTGCTTTTCTTCCTTTTGAAGGAGAGCATAGACAGCATCTATCAATGCTAATTTTTCAACAAATGGTACATGAGTATGAACTATCCCATAATCATCATTAACTGTAGCTACGAGTTTGAATGTATGCCTCTTATCAACTTGCTTCTGCTATTCAGAAATGGCAGTCTGACACTTCATGGTGAGAGTTCATAAAGTTTGAATTCCTCCCACATGCCTTTGAGTGTTCCATTATATTCGGACAAAGATTGCTCTCCTTGAGAATATTATATTTTTGAGAAACTTTCTCTTTTCAGGTGTCCTAGATTTCTAGGGCTGAATCAGGGATATATAATCCATCTCTAATGGTTTCATCTATAAATTTGAGAATCCATGCCATAATAAGTGACTTGATGCCATTCACTCTTCATACTTAGGGTTAGAATCAGGGCACTTGGATGTACCATCTATGTGTCCGAATCTTGTAATTTCACTTATGTACCATTCATTTATTCTGATCAAGTCAGTCCCAGAAATATAGTTGCTGCCAATTTACTCTTCATACTTAGGGTTAGAATCAGGGCACTTGGATGTACCATCTATGTGTCCGACTCTTGTAATTTCACTTATGTACCATTCATTTATTCTGATCAAATCAGTCCCAGCAGTATAGTTGCTACCATTTCCATTTAACCAAACAGTAGTAATTTGCATGGCCATTGGATCTGCTGAGGATGGATTCCTTTGATCTGCCATTTAATGGACAAGATAACTTGCTAGCAAAAAAATGTGATAAAGAAAGCTCACCCAAAGATGATATTACATACTTGGGCAATCCATAAACACTTAAAAACAGTACTGATTATTTCGGGTAAAAAGTGCAGATATCTGATCATTGCAAATGGGCTTCAAACCCTTTGGATTCTTCCAATCTTCAACTCCAATATCTGAATGTTGCAAGTAATGATCACTGCAAACCTTGTTGGGTTTTGTGGCCTTTAACGGCCTAGAGAGCTTGTACAAATGATATTTTATAGCAGAATATGCACTTCAATAAGAGTGTGTGCATTGACTGACCAGGGATTGAGCGGTTTATAGCCATGATCACATCCAAAACTCTTGGACCTAGGCATATAGCACTGCCGAGAAGGGTTTGCAGTGGGTCATCCGTTATTGAGGTTGGAGAGATGCCCAGGGATCATGTTTGTAGACCAAGAGAATTGTGTGGTCTCTTGTGAGCAGTTGTAGGCTTGTGAGAGCAAGGGTCAAAGCCTCAACAAACTTCCACATGGCATATACACATGGTAGTCGCATTACTGGGAAGCAGACCTAGAGAGGGACATGTGTAAATTAGCATAGAGAGCCTCATTTTGCACTATGGTGACAAATGCAAGACTTCCTCTAAAAAAGGGGAACTAAAATCTACATTCCAAGATCATGATCCCACTGTCTATCATCCAACTTTGACAAGTCAATCATGAGCCCCTACAAAACGACTGTGGGTTATGGGACTTTATTAGATTGGATATATGAACAGTAGTCGATCATGTTTTTCTAAGGCGAGTGGAGTGTCCTTAGTGTCGTTAATTTTGAAACATATTTTATTTTGATATTATAAATATTTTTATGATTTTTAAATGTTTTTTCAAAATTTGAAAATATCATATCTGCTGTAATTTTTATTAAAATGGCATTTTTGAAATTTTTGAACTTAAAATAACACATGTGGGACCAAGGATCCAGCCTACATGAGTGATTTATGTTTCCAATTGTGGGGACCACGTGGCACCCCCTAGGTGGCCACGCCCCAATTTTGTTTTAAACAATTTTGGCACGCCACCTTTTTATGGAAAAAGGGGGGCATGCCCCAATTTTAGTTCTATTTTTAAATACTGGCACTGCCACTTAAATAGGAGAAATGGGGGCATACCCTACCTTTTTAATATTTGATTCAAATATTATGGGAAATCCTATTGACTTTAAATTAGATTTGGTTACCTATCCTTATGGGAAATACAGAGATCTAGATAATTTTTAAGCTTGATTGTATTTCAAATTCGAATGGGAGAATCTAGATAAAGTTTAAGTTTGATTATATTTCAAATTCAAATAGGGGTTAGACTTGGGTCAAAGTCTAAAATGATAAGGTTTCCATCTTTCTGTCCACAATCATAATGGCCGATCTATGGAATGGATGGCTCTCATTAAATCTCTCTCACCCCACATATTTCCTATTTATCTTAAAGTTGTAGCTGAAAACTAGATAAGGCAATATTCAGGATCCCAATTCAATCTAGGAGATAGATTTCTTTCGATATAAAGATCTTGTTTGAACCCTCTCTCTCATTACATGATATTTCTCCCTCTCTCACATAACAAATAGATCCTCTCTCGCTTTCTCTCACACCCAAATTCTCTTTCCCATAATTTTCACTCCACCCTCTCTCTCCTGAATATTTTGTCTTAAAGAAAAATATAGGTAGCTCTATAGAAAAACCCTAGAGCAAGAGTTTGCTGTATTTTGAAAAAAGAAGAGAGAACCCCAGCCTAGAGAGAGATTAAGTCACAAATTCAGCCCTAATTTGTTCCAATAGGGTTTCTATAAACTCTAATTTATTTTTAAGCTCTCTAAAACTCTAGAGAAAGAAGTATTGCCTACAAAGCTTCCCTATCTCAAAATTTTCAGCAACACCTTAAGGAGCTAAAGTGCACAATTAGTCAAGGAATCGGGTTGGGGTGTACCAAGTCCTCGTAGGGTAACTCTACGCATCTTCCAGTAAGTCATACTAGTAGTTTTAAATTAATTTACAATATTATGCCTATTGTTTTTTGTAAATTTCCAGGAACTTATTTTGTAATAAAAGTTATAGTGGAAGATAGTTTCAAGGTCCCGGATAGTTTCTATTACTCTTGATAGTGAAAATAAAGATCCAAGGTTGTATCTAAGGCATTATTTTAATTTTACAGCAACATATTATGGCCCATGTAAGTAGATTTTTTCTTTTCTTTTTTTTTAATATATGCTACGTAAAGTTTGTTGGATTGAATCTCTAAGAGAGAAAGAATACGAGAGATCAATAGAAAACACGTCACGAGTAAGAGAAGGGAAGGGAGAGAACACACGGAGAGAAGCAAAGGAGGCATGGTGGAGGCCAAACGATAGGCCTAGGCTTTGTGCTCTATGTATTACAATAAGTTACAAAGGACAACTTTGTCCCACAAAAATCACAAAAGGCATTGTTCCAAAAAGTGGACCACCTGGCGCTAGGCGATCGCCTAGGTGGGCGCCCAGCCTTGGGTCACTGCCTAGGACCTGCTCCTTGCTCAAAGACAAAAATACCCTTCATTGAGGGGCATTTTTTAAATATAAGATTGCAAAAAGTGGGGCTTAGGTTCATCTCAAACATAAACCCCATTAGAGCCCATTTGAGAGATAAAAACCTCAAAAAACTAGATTTTTGTGATTTTCATAGGATCGAAAGGTTTTCAACGTTACAAGAAATCGATCTAAACATCACCCATGGTGATAGTGATCAAGAGGGTTGTGAACAGGTGGAACAACTTGCTACATCATGAATCGATGTCTTGCTAAGTTGTTATCTTGGATTATATTTTCTCGTTTTTAGTTTTTATTGTGTATGGACTATGGAGTGCATGAAGTTTGGATTATAATATAGATTGTGGATATGGCCTACTACTCTAATGTCCCATGCTTTTATGTGTTGACTTCAAAACTTGATTTTTTAATTTGAAATGCATGGAATTATGGACTAAAATATGTCTCAATATGTACTTAGTTTTTTACACAAAATTTAACCTTAATACAACTTTTTATTCTACTGGGTTGCCTAGGTTCTAGGTACCCGCTTAAACGCTGAGTGGCCTGGACCCCCCCGTCCCCCGACAGCCTAGGCACGGCCCGGCGATTTTTGGAACATTGACAAACGGACTAATCATTCTTGGAGAATGACAAAACCAGTACTACAGAAAGAAAAATTCCCACATGGGTCCTTAGATCTATATATACAAAAATATGAACTCTCCCAGCAAATAGCTTACCCACCTACTTTAGATCTTTAGTCAACTCTACTTGGTTAGCTTCATATATGTTTCAAGGCATCAATTTAGGGCATGCCTCAATACAATGTGAAGTTTTGTACAAGAAATGATCTACTAAAATGGTAGACAACTTCCAACTTCTGAATGTTAAATTTCTACATGAACCAGGCTTCATCCATTCATCATATTTAGTTCACACTGGAAAATCAAAAATCTTAGTTGCCGTGATGTAGAAATGATCTTGGTTTACAGAAGATTCAATGTAATACATGAACCAATAATCACAATACTCCCTTAAGTTACTGAGAAAGACTTAAATAAGTAAATATATAACAATAGAGCAATGTGGGATTTTTTCTTTCTTTAAAACCAATATCTAAATAAGTAAATATATAACAATAGAGTAAAATCTTATTCTGAATTTTCAAATTCTCATAATCTTCTTGACTTGTAGCACAAAAACCACTAATACTTTTTACAATCTCCAGAATTATCCTCAAATTCTGTTGACCCAGCACTGTTATCCAAACTAACGGAATTTGAACCACCAGCAGTTTGATTCTGAGACTCTTGGAAGTCATCAAACAACAGCCATTATCAACAAATGTAAACGGAGGTAAAAATTATTTTTGTCCATCTAAGAAATCATGCACACAAGTCATTGATATCACACTGTATACTAAAAATGCAAGTAAGTACATCTATGAAAACTTCCATCTTCTTACCTTTGTCTCTGCAACATCCTCAAATATTCTTATGCCTGCAAATCCAACGGCACTTTCAAAATTGGAAGTAGCATCTTGCATAAGCATTAAATAAATATTCTTTTGAAGTAAGGCTACAATTCTCTATTAACGCTTTCAAAACAGAGCCATATTGCACTAAGATAGTATCATTTGATGAGAAACTACTAGTTAAAAACAGAAGGAGAAGATATCAACCAAGTTTTAGAACATTGCATGCTTCTAATTCTAAACCATCAATCGTTAACTCCATTAGCATTTTTCATGAGCTAAAGAAACATTTTTTTTTTTTTGAGAATATTGACTGTAGTTTTTTCTATATGTTAGGACAATAATCCATGAGAAAGGAGAGAGAAAGGAATTGCTCATAAACTTAGAGTTCGATGGACGAAGTGGAGATGTGCTCTTGGATTCTTATATAATCATCACAATACCAATGAAACTGAAAGGGAAGTTCTATAAGATGGCTGTAGGACCAACAATGCTTTATCGGATGGAAAATTACACGGTCAAGAAATGTCTAAGCATAGCCTAGATGAGGATATTAAGATGGATAACAGGTAAGACAAGGATAGAATTTTCAATTAATACAATTGAAAGAACTTAGGGGTAGCTCCAATAGGCGATAAATTGAGGAAAAATAGAATCAGGTGGCTTGGTCATATGCAGAGTGAACCTAGAACAACATATGTTAAGAAGGGTAAGTTGATTCAAGTGGAAGGCTCTAAAAGGGAAAGGGGAAGCAAAGGACATGGGTGGAAGTAGTGAGAAAATATATAATGACTTACAGTTTGACTGAGGGTATGAAATGAAAGAATAGCACATGATATGTGCAGCCGATCCCAAATAGTGGAGATAAGGCTCGAATGATAATGAAGATGAGGATCTGATTGTATTATTTAAAGTATGATAGAATGATAGATAAATGGCTGCCCGCATGTTGGAAGCTCTATACAAAAAATAGGTTCCCATACACCCAACAAAAATAAAGCCCTATGCATGAATGATGTACACAAAAACAAAAATAAAGAAATATCCATCAAGACTCCTGTATTCACGGTAGACCACGAGGTGCCAATCTTTGAGGAGATGAACACAAGAAGAGGACCAAAAAGGTATTATCTTGGTTGATAGATCGTTGTTGTGCAAGGTGATTGGATGACTAAACAAGGAGATAGGTTCCCTTATGGGCTGAAAAGATAACAAAAGTCACCAAAAAGGCTACCCACATGTCAGGAGCTCTAATAAAGTGTAATATTATAACAACATCAGCAAATAGTAAGAGAGGAGTGGAGAAGAGAGATACAGAAATAGAGAGGTGATTAAGAGAAGGGGTTTACAAAAGCAGTGAAAGAACTTAAAAGGAAAAGAAAGAGAGGAAAAGAATGAGAAAAAAGATTAACAAAAGTAATACTAGGGGTCGAGAGGAGAGAGAAGATGGACAAGAAGAAGAGCAGGATAGAGTAGGGAGATAGAGTAACAGTATGAGTAAGAGAAAAAAAACATAGAGAGATGCAATGGGGGTTAAGAGTAACAGAATGGGAGAACAAAGAGACTATGAAATATAAAGAAGAAATCGTGCCAATTAAAGACCGTGTGCAGCTCAAAGGGTAACAGTGTGGCAAAGGAGGGTAGAAGTACCAAGCGGTGGCAGCCCAACCGAGTGCTTTAATACGTAGCATATTGTGGAAATTACTATCCCAAGAGCATACGAGTGGGCTTTTGCCTCCCCTGTGATGAACACTCACCCATAACACCTGTAGGAGAGCGAATAGAAAAAAAATTTATTTCTTTTCTTCGTTTTTCTCTTTTTTTTATTAAATTTTTCGCTTTTTCCTTCTTCTTTTTTCCTATTTTCCTTTTATGTTTTTTTTCCCTCCTTTTTTTATGGTGGCAACTACTACCCATGAGCTAAAGCAACTTTAATTTTAAGAATGAAGAGAAGACTTGCTTCTTATTCCCTCTAGAACTTAAATAGCGTTAATATAGCTATGTCCCCAAATACAACAATTCAGGTGCATGATCTCCCATTAAGACATATGGTTACATAGGCAGAAAAGATATCAAAAATAAGAAACATCTATTGACAAGCAAAAATGTTCACTAGATAGATTAAAATAATAAAGGACAATTCCATCATCATAGATTCACGATTCATTGAAAGTTTTGACAAAGTTTTGCGTTGGCTGCTTACTTTTGACATTTTTTCTTGCATACAAGATTATAGTAATGTTCTTCCATCTATACTTTATTTCTTGAACAAATTATAATATCGACGAGCATTTCATGCAACTATGAAGATATTTCAAAACCCATAACCTACAAAGGGCAGCAACTAATCTTTCAATCAAGTTTTTTTCTTCAAAAAAGAAAAAATACTAATCTTTTCGACCAAAGAGGATGCAACCAAGCCATAAGAATCAGTGTGAAACTATATAAAGCACGGTTTTTATACCTCTAGTAACAAAAACTATAAAAACTAGATATTTGAATGGGGTGACAAAAACCAAGTGAAACCAGTATTTCAAACATCGTCCCCCCGCCCCGCCGAATCCCACTCCAAATCAGCCGTTTCGACAAAACAAATTTTAAACAATAAAAAATTGAAGTTAAAAAATAGATTATATATTTAATAGTGTTTATATACCACAAATCATGGATGGCTTGGTGGTAGGACCCCCCAAAACTAGATGAGAACGCAGGAGTTTTAGCCAACAAGACCTCTTAACTTATTTGTTAAAAAATCTATATATTATAAATAAAGACTAGAACCGACACGGCCACCGACAATTCTCGATCTGAATAAGCAATTTGTTAAACACTGAGTGAAACCAATGTTTTAAAACAACAAAACTGTGAGGTCGATCGACCACCCACCAAAACAGCACTAGATCGGCCAGATCAGGCAGAAAAAAAAAAAAAAAGAAAAAAAGACGGGATTACTACATATATATTATATTTCTTGCATTCTAAGACAAATGAAGGTCCATGGTTTTCTATGAGGACCTCGTGACCATGATCACAAGGTCAAAGGTTGGATCCCCCACTATATCCGTGTGAGAGCTTTTGAAATTTTTTAAAGACAAATAAAGGTCTTCACATTTAAAAATAGAATGAAAGCCTAGAGGTTTGAACCTCTTCCATCTTGAACAAACGACAGACACCCTACCAAATAAACCTTGAATATATCTTATCTAGTGTTTAACATTTCAAAAAAGAACATGTTGCACCCCTTGACATTCGAACCTTCAACATGTAGCCAGAGAGACGTATGCACTACCAAGTTATCCTTTTAGATCGTCTGTTATATAATATACATGTTATATGCAACATTAAAAAATCGATGGTACCGGTAGAGAATTAGCGCAATCACTAGCGATTCACAATCTGGATCAGTAATTCCCGATTTGGATCGGCAAATTTTGGATCGAAGTGAAACTCTAGAGTCTAGAAAGATTTAAGGCTAGATTGGTTGCCCAATAATATCATAAAAAAAAAAATCACTCAAAAAAAAAAAAATATCATAGAAAAAACATTCGACTAAAGTGAGCGAGTAAGTATGAAAGTTGATAGTGGCCGTTAGGGGCTATTGTCAACCATTTAAAGAATGTGCCAAATACCAAAATAATCACATCTTCAGAATCCATCAATATTTCCTGGAGATTAGAATTTGCACAACCTTAACGTGACACTTAATCCAAGAGAACCAGCTACAACAATCCAAGAACAAAATTCTCTATATGTGCATTCCAAACATATCCAGATCCATTATTATCTTACTACAAGTGGATGGCATTCTCATTCTTTTATAAAAATGCTCCAGTCATCGTTCCATCATGAATCTCACTTATAACCATTTTGAATAAAAGATCATGGCTAAAGATATTCATTAGCCAATAAGCTTACACATTCCTCTTCAAAAATAATCCATCATAAGTCAAGCCAATTACAGTAACACATTCATCTCCAACAGAAGTTGAGACTCCCTAAAAATTGAATTTTATATATCCAACCTATTAAAATATCATCTTGAATATTTGAGAGAAAAGAACATGTTGCAGTACATGTAGAGATGGATGGAGAGGAAGCCAAGCAAGAGTAACATGACTCCTAATTCGTTCTTGAGTGAGGGGCTACACTTAAAGATATATATTTATAATTTAATATTCACAGACATCAAATGTCCATACAATAATCAAAATGACTCTAAAAGTCTTAACTTAAACATAAAAATGTTAATGACAATCATACCCTTGTGAACAGTAACCCATGAACAATACCTGTAATAGTATATGTTAATAGTACCAGTGAATAGTTAATCATCATCATCATCATCGTCATCATCCAACCCTTACCCCAATTTTTGGCCTCCGCTACATTAATCATGTTCCTCCATTCTTCTCTATCAAGGTCATTCCCTCAATACGACCAAAAGTCACCTTAGCTTCTCATAGCACCTCTATCCATGTCCTTTTGGGCCTTCTTCTTTTCCTTTTAGAGCCTTCCACTTGAACCAAATCACACCTCCTAACCAGTGTTGTATTAAGTCAACCAATGAATAGTGAATAAAAAATAAAAAGAAAAACCCTAGAGTCCTTCGAAAAGCTTGGAAATCCTAAAAGTAAAACGTAAAACTAAGATTAAAATACATATCCTTTGAAATTGAATAAAAATTAAAAAGAAGAATAATTTGTCTTTCATCATTCTCCCCTGGTTGGATCATTCTCCCCTGGTTGGAGAAAACTCATCCTAGAGTTTTGAAGTGTGCTAAGATGAATTTAGCATCAAAACCACCTTCTTCAACCTTCTTCTTCTTTATCGGCTCAAATATTATTCATGGTAAGAAGAAGATCCTAAAAAACGGATCCTGGTATATATATAATAAGGAATTGACATAAACTTAACAAATTTAGCTATCGCTGAACTCGCATTGAAAATTGAGTAGGGAACTTCAAACTCAACTTTCTGGCCTTTAGAGGCTTTCTCAAAATCTATTTCATTACTCTCTGAAATCAGAGCCACAATTTGCAGTTTATGAGTTGAAAATGCTTCCATTGTGTTACTCTGATTCCAATGCGTAAAATCTGTTGAAATGGTCCACCTCATCGAATCTTTGAGATTTTCAATGGCCATGATTTTGATCAGCCCCCCTGCTGCCGTCTCTCCATATTTTGAGGAGCAAGATCCTCTTTCGAAACATCTTATCTTCATCTTGATTCTTATCGTAGATCGGATCTCCTAATATATATTGTTGTTCAACTGAATATATATCCAAGATTATTGGGAAATCCCAATCTAAAACCTATTGATAATTTACACAATGTGTCAAAATATAAAGTGTCATCCTACAAATCAAAAACCCTAGAGTGATGTTCCCCATGTCTAAGTCTTTTATTGCTTTCCTCTTCACTCGACTCTTCAAGCAGAGCACAAAAGTGAAAAAAGTTGGACTTGACTTAAGCGGCAAGATCACCGCCTTGCCCATAAATGATGCTTGAAAATTGTTGCGTCTACTACTGAACTTGCCTTCTAAGTTTCTCAATTTCTTCATCTCTAGGATCATGAAGTGGATATAAAAAAAAACCCTTCTACGGCCCCTTCTCGTTGACATGAGATCGCAAAAATTGCAAACCCTAGGTAAATAATCAGCAAAAACTCACTAAAACAACAAGATTTAGGCAGATTTGACAAAACTTGGCCCAAAAACAACAAACTCTAGGCCTGGCTATAGTTTCCCATGATGCATGACAAAATTATTCTAGTTTTCCACTTTTGTTTAATTTCGAGATGGATATTTTAATTTTAGATTTAGGATTTATTTTTAGGGTTTTTAAGTTTTCAAGGGATTCTAGAAATTTTTTTATCTTTTTATTTTTTGTTTAATAATTATTGATATTTTCATGGGTATTGTTCATGTTACTGTTCATGGGCACTATTTACGGATTATTTTTTATAGGGGCATTTTTTGAATTTTAATATTGTTGAGGGTTACAGTTTTAAATGTTTACTTGGATCTCAAATTAATTTTAGCATTTTATAGGCTTATAAAAGGTTGGATATCACATTTTGGGATGCTTATGTTATTGGAATTAATTTTATTTAATGAAAGGAAAAAGTTCCTCTCTTGGCTTCAATTACAGCCATATTTTCTCTCCATTATTGTTGATTTTACTTGTTTAACGTTAAAGTTGATCTACCAAAGTTTGAAGAACTAGTTGAAGGTGAAGAACAAGTAGGTTTGGATCTTCAATTGGAATCATCATTCCTTGATGTCACAGGTGACCCCATATTTGATGAAGGTCCTATTTTTTATAAAGAACAAGATGAAATGAAAGAAGTTGGCATTGAGGCAGCAAGGATATCTAAATTTCTCATCAACGAGAGATGGACAAGCAGAATGTTGACCCAAACCCACAGGAGATCAAGCCCATGGAGAGTTTAAGGGAAGAATGAAATAAGGTGATGAAGGACGCACAAAGTAGGAAGGCTGAAAATAGAACATTTAAGGATTTTAAGAATATGATCAAGAATTCCAAAAAACGCATGGATGTTGATGATGAAGATGCATCATATTTCACTGATAAAAAGATTGATGATGAAAACAAATCCTATCAAATTGTTGTGTATCTAGAGATGGAAAATTTTGAATATTGTTCTAAGGATTGTGACAAGGCCTTCAAGGTCGAAGAAGACCATGGGGTTAATGCAAAATTCATCCTAGCTCATTTAAAAACTTGAGGACGAGTTTTCTCCACTCAGGGGAAAATGATGCACGACAAAATTATTCTAATTTTTAATTTTTGTTTAATTCAAGAGAATTATATTTTACTTTTAGTTTTAGAATTTATTTTTAAGGCTTCTAAATTTTCTAGGGAATCTACATTTTTTTTTTATATTTTCATTTTTTATTTATTATTCAAATTAGTACTATTCATGGGTATTATTCATGTTACTATTCATAGGAATGGTTCACACATTACTTCTTTTTTTTAATAAATACGGTTCACACATTGCTGTTCACATGGGTATTTTTGAAACTTTAGCATTGTTTTGGGACATTTTTAGAGTCTTGAATGTGTACTTGGATATCAAATCATATTCAGGTTTCGTAAGCTTCTAAAAGATTAGATATCACATTGTGGGAAGCTTATGTTGTTGGAATGAATTTTATTTTCTAAAAGAAGAAAGAAGTTCTTCACTTGGCTTCATTTACAGCCATGTTTTTTTCCCCCCAATTATTGCTGATTTGACTAGTTTAAGGTTCAAAAAAAAGGTGGATTCAATTTCACACATTTTCTGCCTACATCAAGATCAAGCCTGTGAAGATTTTAGGAGAAGAAAGAAAATAAGGTGATGAAGGAGACACAAAGCAGGAAGCCTAGGAATACAATATATGAGGATTTTGAGAATATGATCAAGAACTACAAACAACGCATGGAGGCTGATGATTATGATGCATCTTATTTCACTGATAAAAAGATGGATGACGAACACATATCCTATTGAGCGGTTGTGTATCTTGAGATAGGAAAATCTAGATATAGTTCTCAGGAGCATGACAAGGCCTTCAAGGTGGAAGAATATCATGGGTTCAACGTAGAATTCATTCTAACTTATTTCAAAGCTCGAGGATGAGTTTTCTCCAACCAGGGAAGAATGATGCAAGACAAAATTATTCTAATTTTCAATTTCTGTTTAATTTCATCTCGAATTTGTACCGGGTAGGTACGAGGTGATCAAGACTTCAAAGAAAGCGAGCTCCTCTTGTGCCTCCGAAACCTGGAAATACACTGTCACTTTGTATACTCTCTAAATCCTGCTCTGATTCCTATAGGAATCCGACTGGTACTAGAAGTGTTTCTATTCCCAGATATAACCTCTGAATCCTGCTCCGATTCCTACAAGAATCTGATTGGTACTAAGAGATTTTCTATTCCCAGATGTAACTTCCAAAATCTGCTCCGATTCCTACGGGAGTCTGACTAGTACTAGGAGTGTTCTGATATTAGTCTTCTTGCACTATCTTAAATAAGGGGAAGTGATGCTGAATTTTCGGGAAAAAGGTGACAGTGAAAACTGTATAAAAGTACTAAAAATCCAAAAATTACATATTTGTCCTTTACAATGAACATGAACCACAAATACAAAAAGAACGTATAGCAGTATTCAAAATACTAAAATAAACCTGACCAATTATGACTTAAAACAACCCACACAGAAACCCTTTTTGGGGGTTAGGGGTTTAATACTTGTACCTATGCCTTTAATTTCGAGTGAATGTAGACAAATTGTCAAGGCACTTATTCTATTGGTGAAGCATTTAACCAATATTACCAACGAACTTCATGTTTGCAGCCACCTCACTCCAGAATCAAGCACATATACCTCAAAAACCTATGACACATTATTAATTATATCAAAGTATCAGTTGAACATGGCTATTACACTCTGTCATCTCATGAAATGTCTTATGTAATCTAGCAAGAATTGAATAAATACACAGATGACACGATATTGTGATTTGCCTTCAAGTTTTTCATTTTCATTGAGCCTCTCTTGAATCTTAAAAGGCAAGACACATTTGACCATCTTAAAGCCATGTGCAAAGAATATGCATAAATTATCTCTTCAAAGTGAAGCAAAGTAATACGGCTTCAAGCTTAACACGATTATTATACAATACCATTTCCATTATTTTCTGGCAGAACTACTGCAATCCAAATTACAAATTCTCCAATATTTCATGAACAAGCATATTTTGTAGCTCATCGACCCTATCCAAGGGGCATATTAGCTCACCCACCTGAGACCACATGCAGATTTGTTCACTAACTCTATCACTAGGGGCATATTAGCATTCAGACTGTAGATAGGCACTTTGCAATCTCTAAATTCTTAAGATGGTTGACAGACCACAAAAATATGATTTTCGCTTATTGGCAGTTAATTCCATCTGCAACCTACTCAAACAATACAAACCCAGAAGGTAATTCTAATGTCTCTGTGCTATGTATATGAGACGAGGAACCCCAATAATTGATGATAATTAGTTCATATTCGCAATTTCAATTATGGCACATACGTACATGCATGTGTGTACATATTCACTTTACGTCATCACCATCATGGCATATAACAACAAATGAAAAATTATAAAAATGAAGTTCAGTTAATCCTATTTGAAATCCCTCTTATATAGTTCTCTTGAAAGGACCAAGAATGATACCATTAACAGCTTGAACGCATTTCCATTGATGCGGCTCAACAGCATCCCCAACATCCCCTCCAATATATCTATCAGACCTAATATCACTTCCTAAATTTGAGGCCTGGCGCAGAAGTTTCTCCGGACCTATGATAAAAATAAAGATAGCAATTTGCATCATTCTAAGCTCTCATTTTCAAAGAAATACTGTCGGCAGAATAATGTAGTTAAATAAAGAAGATTGATGGTCAGCACGAGGACTCTGGTAAGAACTATCAGCATCAAGGAGCGCTGACAACAAAGAATCTCATGGTAAGAAACAAAAGTGCAAATCTCCAACTAGGATGACTCATAATGCGCTGACTGGTCATCACCATCCTTTGAAAACGACGGTGATGAGGTGTCAGAGAGGAGAGGAATGCAGACAACATATGAACCCAATGGTAGGTCCCTCTCTCTCATTCATGTCCACAATATCCATAATTTTAATGTATGGTGATGACCTGAAATACTTTGGTTTTGTCATAGTCTTTAGGAATATAATATACTTTCACAAATAAAAGTTCACATGGAAAATTCTAACTTAGGACAGCAAATACCTTTTCCAATACTTATGAGCTTCCTCAGGCCAAATGCATATCTTCGGACATGACGACGATGGCCTTCAAGATTGAGCCTGCCATAATCAAATAGCAAAGTAAGATATACCTTGCTAAATGATAAAGGAAATGGAAATTTCTAATTTTCAAGATACTAAAGAAACAAGAAAGAAAGTAACATGCGTGATCATTCCTTAATCACAGCATACTCATTTTCATTGTTTATATGCCGGCTACCTCCCCTCAAAAGCGCATGCTCAGCCTGTAAAACCGTTCCAGGTCATCTTGGATCCTAGAGTGACAGAAATATGAACGTAGAAATAAATTGAAACCTATGAGCAAAATGGCAGAACAGGATTCATGTATCCAACCGCAAAATCGTAGGGATAAGGCTTAGATGATAATGATGATGATGATGATGATGATGAAATAAAATGGAAAATATAAAACCAAACATTCAAGATAGTTACATATTCCCGATTAATGAAAGCACATCAATCTGATAGAACAGCACTACAGGAATAAAAATTGTAAAATTTTGATGCCTTCCCCAAGAACACATTGAACTTCTTTTTCCAAATAAAAAATAAAAAATTCATTATTCTTTTTTCTGGCTGCCTTCTTACATGAGTGAAATTGCTTCCAGTTCCTCAGCATGTACATATAATCTTAAATTTAGAATGTTGGAGAATCAAACCTTTTGGATGTTAACAAAAAAATGGGAAACCACTTTTAAGAGTTAGTTATCTCCATGAGGCAACCTAGACTACAAGATTCATTTGTTTTGCTGACAAAAAATTAGATAACATGATTCATGATTGTTCCTCCATTTCAAGGGAATGTACACCAGGAAGACATTATTGATGAACCAATGGTCCCAAAAATATCATTGCATCTAGGTTTTGCTACCAATATACCCAAATCAATACATCAACTCTCCATGGATCACCATGTTAAGTTAAGAGAAAATATTTTATATATCAGATGTTGTTCCACTGGCGAATGTAGTACTAACAATTCCAACACAAGTCTAGCATGCATTGATCTCGTTACAAACATTATAACTCAGCCCTTAAAACCTCATTCTCTTCATATATCTAGTTCAATGAAGTTCAAGGGGAAACCTCAAGTCACATACAAGATTTGAAGAAGGATCCTCAAACCACAAGGGTTTGGCTAAAGCCCAACTAAAAACTCCATCATTGTAACAATGGAATTATTTGGTGATGTCCCTACATCAGATGGTGTTTGGGGTATTTTTCTAATTCCATTAGGCCTATGATACGAACCTAAAATCATATGGAACTTTTTTGTAAATGTTACCATTGTCCTAAGTAAATACTTCCATTTATATATGCTTTGGATATTGGTCACATACTTCAAGGTAGTTGTAAATTTCAGCATGCGAAGACTCATTACAACAGTAATATTTTATAATACTTTCCATACTTTCCACACTGTTGAATATTTCTATGGTCCTTAGAATTTTTCATTAGCTGTATCACAGTTAGTAAGTTTCAAAACAATAAACCCTAGGGTGGTTCTTAAAGTTTAGAAAGTTCGTTTTTAGATTTTTGGAATTTGATAACTCTGGAGTAATCCAAAGCATTCGAGTGCTATGAGAAGAACATTAAAGCAGCCGAATCAAATAGATGAGGAAAATAAAAAATCTAACTTGGCAGACAGTAACCTGAAGCACAATAGACCTATGTCAAGGATTAAATTAGGTGCAATGTTTCTAAAGGCAGGCAAATTAGCAGCTTGTATGTATGAATACTATTAAATCCTAGCATTCTTATCGGAAATAATATAAAATGATATGCATGCATCGGCTTCAGCGGGATTTCATTCCACAAAAAGCATGAATAATTTTATTGGGCAAGTAACATCCATAGCACCCTAACTCCTTCAAAAAAAAACAAAAATCCATAGCACCTGAATGATTTTGCAAACCCCAATTAACAAAAAGGAAATACATATGAAATAAACAGTATCATAAGAGGATATGTAAAGTGGTAACTGAACCAAACATTCTCTTGATAAAATATTAATTTCTTTTTTTTGGCATATCTCATAATTTTTATTAACATATGATTTTACAGAAAGGACTACTATTAAAAAAGGTACCTGTTGCTTGGCCTGCTCAAATGCCTCCATCCACTTCCTTGCATCTCCAGCACTAGCACAAGCAATCTTAAAGAACAAAATAGACTTAGTTACATCAAATTGTGAATACAATGTCATCTAAAGTAGATAGTTGAATGCGAAATTTCTATAGCGTGCAAGGAAATAGGTAAATGGAACTCATAAAAGACTATATCTTTATATGCATGAAGCAGATAAATTCAGGGCAGAAATTAAATTTGGTAGCTTCAATGGCATTGCAATCCGCATGCTTTCTGTCCCATATTGTAGTTATTGATGCTCCAAATCCATCTTCAGAGAGATGAAGGGTGTCCATTATTTCAGTACATCTGAACTCTGAGATTCTTATAGCACTTAACTCCAAGATTCTTATAGCATGGGATGCTTGAACAATTCATAACAACAGAAATATCTCAATTGGTAGAATACAAAATAAGAACGAAAAGGGTAAAGATTAGTATGTGACATAGTATTAGTATGTGACATTACTATGACATAGTACATCCACAGAAGCGTTTTATGATTTTTATGTGTTGGAAAATCATTTCAATTTCAAATGATTCATTTACATTGCTGTTCTCCCAAAAGGACGTTTAATAAGTAAATAGTGAAGTCATATAAATTAGGAAGAGAGGAGGGGGAATGAAAATCTTCTTAGAAGAGTCTCTGATGTTTCAGGATCAAATTTGTTGCCTACGTTTTGTATGAACACGGTCAGTTGCTGCATTTGTGTGGCCAGTCAATAGGGATATGATTCTAAAGGCTAACCTATTTTTCAAGATATATGTTTCAATCTAACAGAAAATGAAAACAAAAAGAAAAAAGATGCAAAAGAAAAAATATGCAGGCATATAATTAAACTTTGAGGAATGATTAGCTAGGAAGCAATTCTACCCCAAATATTATAACGTCAAGCAGAAGAACATTAGATCATTCTCCTTTCACCTTGATTCTACCCAGATAATGTTAGATCCAGTGATTCAAAAAGCGGACCGCCCAGTGCCGCCTAGGCGGTCCAGAAGGCCTGGGCGCATCACCCAAGCCTAGGTGGCCAATCTGGGCGGCGGTCACCTAGGCTGTACGGAATCCGCCTAGGCGGGCACCCAACGCCGCACCCCGCCTAGAGGCGAAAATTTTTTTTTTTTGTATTGATTTTTTAAAAAAATATAAAGCGTTAGAATGATGGTTTTAAGTTCATGTGAAATTTAAAACTTATTGGAGCCCATTTTAGAGAGAGAGAGCCTCTAAAAAACTAGTTTTTGGTGATTTCTTTAGGATCGAAGAGTTTCTCAAAGTTGACAAAAATTGATCAAAACATCACTCATTGATATTAGATTTAATTTTTGATGTTTTATAAATCTATTGAAGGGTTTTTTAGAAGATTTTGAGTCCTTAGAAACATCTTTGAGGTGGAAGTTCGAAGATTGAGCAATCAAACTCAAAGTAAGTACCCTAAATACCTAATTTTAATTTTTATACTATATATCCTTTTTTTATTCAAATGGGCATCCTTTTTTTATTCGACTGGGCAGGCCAGGTTTTGGGCGGCCGCCTAGGTGCTGGGCGGCCTGGACCCCCCAAGCCGCCTAGGACCTGCCTAGCGCTTTTTGAAACACTGGTTAGATCAGCATGTTACATGCCACAAATCATGATAAAAAGGAATTGATCCCACAGGATTACTCTTTGACTTATAATAGTTAAAGTAGAACCAGATACTACCAAATCATTCCTCTCATAGCTATAATAAATGCCATTAATTTCCATGTTCTTGTTTTCCAAGGTAGGAGATGGAAAAATTACTGAATCATCTTTCCTTGTTAGAATTTAAGCTTCTATTCAATTGATAACTGGACAGCAAAGAAGAAACAAATGCTGAAATAAACCATGATATAAGTTCATAAGCACTCAAGTGATCCAATCAGTATACCCAAGATACTATAGTAAAGAGGAGTGCCATATTTATACAGGCAGTAAGTATATCATGGTCTGAATTCCCTAAAACTCCAATTTTACAACCAGATTATCTGAATTCCCTGAAACTCCAATTATACAACCAGATTAATCTGATCACCTTCAATATAATAACATCTCCAACAACGGTAGTACATCCAGGGACCATAGGAGTGCAATTATTTCTAGTGACTAATCTAATGTGACAAGTCACACAACCACCAGAGCAGTAGTAAGTTACGGTGGCAAAGTGATAGAAGAGAAGGAAAAAGCCCATCATATTGGATTAAAATTATAAACAGGCCAAAAATTTATCTATATGAAACTAAAATAGGAAAGTTGTAAAACATAACACTAATGCCAAATTGGAAGATTTTAAGGAATTTCAAATGATTAATCCCATACTTGTAACAGAACCATCAGCACCATGTTAACTTCAAAACAGAAAAGCAGACATAATGGTATTCAAAACATTCCAGCAGAAGCCGGCAACGACCTATAGACGATTAGGCAACAACAAACCATGGAGTAACATACTCTTAGGAGATAGATTCAGTACTTACTTCTCCTTTCTTTGTATCATCCAGTGGAGTGCAAAACCTCAGCACATAAACATCCTACGCAGAGAACATCACTGTAAGCATTACATTAAAAGCTAACTATCCAATCTTTTCTCACTAACGATAAGAAGCAAGCCACTTAGCCCATTTATCTGAAAAAGCTAATACAGGTCAATTGGAAAAACAAGTCAATCAATTTCCTGAACAATGAAGCATCATTAAACATCGTACTTCCGGATACAAATTACCAATGGAGAATTACCCCATGATTGATTTTCTTACGACCTCGTTCTTCCACCATAAGAGATGGTCCCACAACACCTTTCCGGATGGGTTTCTACAGCAAACAAAACAGAAGTGTGAAAATTCAGGCCATCAAAAACATTGCTAGAATTCTGGGCGGCAGTGCCAGCAGAACATAAAGAAAGCATTTAAGAGGACAAATGGAAGAGATTCGAGTTTCAATACTAATTGAATATGAAATTTATAAAGAGAAAGAAATGATGTAATATCGACTTCATGCTGACGACAGACTAATGCACCAGAAACCAGTCAGAATCAAATTACATTTTTTCAATTGGGAGGAACTAGAAAATACGCAGCCCACATTAAATATAAACTTTCAGAAAACAGGACTCTCTCTTCTTGGGTCCTTGAGTAATCCTTATGTGAATAAAAAGCTCTAGGACCTGGAAATTTGAGAAATTACTTTGGTTAAAAAGGAACTGCAATCCAAATGGAACTGGTGCTTGGTAATGGGGGAGTTAATCGAGTTTCATCGAAAATAAGAAAGTTTAAGAACTCGAAGAGGTTGACGGATATTTATCACTCATCGTAGGCATGATTAGTGAAATAACGAATGATGTTGTAATGGCAGTGGGAAACACGCATTAAACAAAAATAAAAGAAGTGGGAAATGGATGACAGATATTCTTGGTATAGATGGTTTGGTAAAACTTTCAAGTCTTCATTTCATAGGGTGTTGAATGTTTTAAAACTTGTTCTTGCCAGTGCCTTGCCCGAGCTGTCATATGCATTTAGGAGAACCCAATATGCCAACACACTAGACGTATGTGTTGAAAAGCATGACACACATACAGATGAGAAATCCTGTCGACATGCATATCTAAAAATTTTCACGATCCGTGTGTAAGATATGCCATCTACATTACAAGGCGCATTTCCATTTATAAAACATCAAGGGGCACATGTCATATGATGTAAACATGCATCTTTGATTCGAACAAACACGTTTTTCGTTAAGTTTAATTTTATTATTAAAAGTAAAAAATTAGTTTGCTACATAAAAAGTTATAAACAGATGTGTGCAAGGGCTTGTACAGACATGTTGTGCTAGACTTGGCAAAATATAGATAGCGTTAAGTTTAATTTTATTATTAAAAGTAAAAAATTAGTTCGCTACATAAAAAGTTCTAAACAGATGTGTGCAAGGGCTTGTACAGACATGTTGTGCTAGACTTGGTAAAATATAGATAGCTGAGTTGGATTATTTAAATCTGAGTTACACAGATTTTCGTATCTATGTCCTTGTAACATAGTGCCCGAATCAACCCAACTCAGCAACCGAGCAAGCCTCGTGTTCTATCACAAGACTTGCCCGAGTCAGGCTCCTTCCTTTTTTGTTTACTCAAGTAGACTCGATCGAGTCTTATTGTGATAAGCTGATTAAAGCCAATATAACTCAGCTCAACACCAGGACGAGTCCAGAGGTAAGTCAGTTTGTTAAATTGTTGGTGCAGTTGCTTGCATGTAATCAAGATTATAAACCTCTCTCTTCCTCTCTTTCTCTCCTACCTTTCTCTCTCTAGATCCTCAATTCCCTCATTCTTTATCTTCTTTCTGTTTTATCTTGGTAACACGGCAAGAGACTTTAGACAAAGGTTCTTGCAACCTTAATGATGTAATCTGAACATCGAGGGTCTCAATCGGCCGTAAAGTCAGAAAACCAAATCTGGAAAACTAGGTATGGACTGATAAACCATGGTTTCAGGTTCTTGATGTTGGATTATAACTCTGGGATGACTCAATGGTGTTAAAAACCCTAAGACTAACTGGGATGATATTTTACAAACCCTAGATCTGGTTGTAAAAAACCCTAGATCTGGTTAGGATGACTCTATGGTGTTAAAAATCCTAGAACTGGCTGGGATGATGTTCAAAACATTAGATCTAATCAAGATAATTCAATGGTGTGCTGGAACCCTTAAATAGGCTGCACCATTATTTTTGAGTTGTGGGACTAAATAATATATGGAGGAGAAATGATCTAATGCAACGGTTGTATCATATTATAATGCAACCACACTTCTAGAAAACCATGTTTGTAGTATTTGTACGACTAAAAATTTTGCACACATGCTCTCTTCATCTCAATAATCAATCCGAAAAAAGTAAAAATTCAATTTGAACAGTAGATATGGTTAAAATGAGTCCCTTCCAACAACGAATCTAGACCATTCATTTGGTGAATTTCAAGATCTTAACCTTTACAAACTTAAAATTATTTTTTTATTTTTTAGCATTGTTCATCTAAAAAAATTGGAAAAGAAAAAATCCTTCTAAGGCCTAGATCTAAGCATCTTATTAAAATGGACGGTCTATGTTAATTGCGCTAAATAAATGCATTTTACGTTGTGTTTTCATTTTTTTTTGTGATTGTTCATTAGAAAGAAAAGAGTGTACATTTTCAAATTTGGATCAAACAAATGGCCCTAATATTGTTTTTGAAGATTATTGCATTATATAACTATACAACCATTGCATGAAATAATTTCCCTTTATGGAGATCTCTTGCATGGATTGTCATGGATCCCTGTAAGAAGTAACTTGAGTTGTAGAATTAATGTGGTTTTAGTTACTCATTTTGTTAATTAGTGAGTTTTCTTGATATATGTTGGCCACAACACATAATTACTAGTATTATCCGGACCAGAACCAAGGGATCGAGAGATGCACGAAGATAAATGGGATAGGAATCGAGATCCATACACCATGAGTTACAAGGATTGTGATCCCAATGAACGGAGTGCAATCCAAATTTATCGAGGATCGAATATAAAGTATATGGGATCGAGGTCCGTCCAGCAAAGAGTTGAGGCTCCCTAAGGAACAAAATCCATTGAATGATATGATTAATAGTTTTTTCTAAATCTGAAAACCAAAATATCATTAAATACAAAAAATCCAAATGCTAAAATATTTTCAAATTTTTTGTTATCATTGGAGTGCTTTTCATAACTGAGAAGTGAAACTCAAAACCCAAAATGAAGATTCAAATTTCAGTCCTCAAGCAAGAAAGAAGTTCTAATGTCTGATGCAAATGCATTGTCCTTGTGTTCCCTAGTTTAGGTCCTTTCAATTACAAGCGATTGGGCATGCAACTGGTCAAATGCTCTCTAGATTCAGATGGAAAAAAAGGGTCCACAAGCAAAGAAAGGGTCAATATGCAAGGGTCTCTGATATGGTCAACATGAGCGCATTAGAGACAAAGATCAATTGGATAAAACCAATAAGTGAAATGAAAAGGATTAGGGTAGGACATGGCAAAGCTTTAGCTTTGTAGCTTCTCTCCTTCATCCACGAGTTCTATAACATAATATGATAGCAGTCAGCATGTCATGGTGCTTATTTTAGTGGCTCAAAGTTCAAAGGTCAAACTTTAACATTCAAAGGTCAAACTTTAAGCTTCAAGCCGTAGTTATTATTGTATAAATTGTAGTGTTTCAAAGAGCGCTAGGCGGCCACGGGGGTCCAAGCCACCCAGCGCCTGGGAGAGCACCTTGAACCTGGGCAACCCAGTTTCTAAGGACTCAAAATCTTCTAAAAAACCCTCTAATAGATTAATAAAATATCAAAAATTAAATCTAATATTAATGGGTGATGCTTAGATCAATTTCTCGTAACTTTGAGAAACCCTTCAATCCTATGGAAATCACCAAAAACTAGTTTTTTAGGGTTTTTCTCTCTCTAAAATAGGCTCTAATAGGTTTTAGATTTCAAATGAACCTAAAACCCACAATTTTGCCCCTTGAATATGTAAAAAATGACCAAAAAAGGCCCCCAACGAGTGACATTTCCGCCCTTGAGTGGGGTGCAGGCCTTGAGCAGCCACCCAGGGCTAGGAGCTGGCATCAGCCTAGGCTGGTTCTCGGGCGCCCAGGGATTTCCGCCTTTTTTCCCGCCTAGGCCTAGGCGATGAGCCCAGGCCTTTTAGACAGCCTAAGCGGCTGCCCAGGCAATGGGCGGTCCGTTTTTTAAATCACTGGTACATTGGGATTGTTTCTCAGCTACTTGATCTTTACACCAAAAGCCCATTCAGATTTCAGAATTTTCTTGATACGTTGTTGTACAGAGAGAGAGAGATAGAGGGCTAACAAAAAGGACTCCACTAATCAGATAGAGAAGATCGCCAAGATTTCGTGATCCGCTGCCGAACCAATTCCAGTTCCAACAACTCGGACTCGAATCGTGGGGATTGTCAGCATACTTCTTATGAAGAGAAAGAGAGAGTGAGGAGAGAGAGAGAGTTGTCTAGGGAATCAAAGAGAGGATAGGAGGAGGAAGGAGAGGGTGATCAGTACATGAGACTTGAATCTCGTGATCTTCAATACCAATAAAGAAAAAAATCGATTTTATGTTAGTGGAGGCTTGATTCCACTTATTTATCAACCTATTATTTGGATGAGAGGGATCTGGACCCCATATACCAAGGATCTAGATCCCCGATTTTGCAGATCGAGATCCCTAAATTCAAAAAATGCTTAGAATCCAGATCCCTTATCCCTGAGCACAGGATCGAGCTTCCATATCCGAAGTGCCACCTTCTTAGGAGATCCCAGTAACTATAGGCCAACCTGACTAATATTATTAATACCTCTACCATCTCTACTAGTCCAAGTGTGACCTCCCATATGCATATCCATGGAGATAACCCTGAAATGCAAGCTACGACTGTCAAACTTGATAAAACGAATTATTTAGGGTGATCATAGTCTTCAAAATGTTAATTGATGGATTGGGAAATGGGGTACGTCGATGGCAAGATTATTGAAACCAAAGAAACACATCCCTTACGTGAGAAGTGCGAAACTGAGAATTTGACCATAATGTCTTGGTTATTACAATTTAAGCAATCATCTATTAGTATGGGCTTCTTGTTCATTTGAACTACAAGAAGATTTGGGGCCTCACATATCAAACCTACTCCTAAAGCAAAATTGTAGCTCTAGTGTACCGAGACAGGAAATTTCTCATCTTCGACAAGGGAAGACATCTCTTGCTACGTATTTCTCCTTACAATGTAGCATGTGGGAGGAG